TGATCGCACGGGCCCGCCCGGTGCGTTCCAGCCTGGGTTGCAATTTGCATATAGGCAAAAACGCATGAAAAATGGCTTCAGCTCTTTGCCATTGCCCAAATTTCTTCTTTTTTGCCGGAATCCCCCGCAAATTCATGAACTGGTTTTCACTTTGTTTTATATTTAACAGAATTGGTTCAGCACTGTGTATGAACGGTTTAATTTCAGCTTGGCAAAAAGCAATTTTATTTTTTATTATCTTCTCGCAGTTCCTTGCATTCATTTCATTGTGCACTGGCATCTGCATAACGTGCTTTCGGCCCGCAACATTCGTTTTTGCTATTTCGCTTTTTCTTGCGCGTTAGTTACTTTTTATTATTAAAAAACCTACATAAACGGCTGGAATGACCACTAAAAAAGTGACCATGGGGCTTGACGTATCGGAAGGATCACAGTTACTGCGACTTTTTCTGTGTATTTCTTAATTTGCACTTTGTGCATTTGCGTTGACTACTTTTCTTTTTGTGTGGAAAGAGCAGTGTTGAACTGCATCCATCCTACAGTCAAGCAGGGTTGCATCTCTCGTATGCCTTTTTAATTAAGTCTCGACATTTGCTTAGAAAAGTAGAAGGCTATTTAGAGTAAATGAAAAAGTCGCAATGTGCATGGAAATTCGTACAAAGGAAGTGTCATTAGCGACTTAAGATGGAGTGGGCTAACGTCGCAGTCCAGAAGATGTGGTTATTTTGTGACGCATTGTAATGTATTCTAAAATTTCATTGATTAAGTGCTACCCCGTTAGGAGTGCTGCTGTTTCTTCAGAAAATGTCTTTTTAATGAGTTCGCAGCTTCAACTCTAGGATCAGGATGCGTAGTGCCAAACTCATAGGGAGAGGGCTTAAAATATTTTGTATTAGAGCGTTTCACTAGATTATATTAATTGTTAAATATTGCAGTACTATGTTCACTTATAGCTGACGGCGTATTTTTTCTGGCAGCTAATCGAGTAGACAATCGGTTTGTCCAAGGGATGGTTGGAACCTACGAGGTGTGTTAATTTTAAATATTGATAACTTTTTGTTGCTTCTGCTCGCCTCACATTTTCTTGCTTTTCATTTGTTTCTTGTTTTTCAATGCAAAATGTCGGACCTGCTTATCAGTTTTCCGCTGACGTACACTTGGAAAGTTTATTTGAGTAAACACGAATGATTTTATCAGACACGAAATTCTACAGTAAATAGTGCTCTCTGTAAAGCGGTCGGACACAAGAACGACTCCCCAGCACATACCTTCCGGGTGTATAGGAAAGACGGGTTTGAATCGTGTGCGGGTAACTCAGGGCAGGAGAACCTGGTAGAAGTGCGCTTGAGGTGATGCCACTTTCCAGTGACATCAAGGACTCCCGCAGCGCCACAGTCCGGGCGAGCTTTTCGTTCCTGGGTTTTCACTCGCAGTGACATTTTAAACTAAATTTGAATAAGAATTACATTCTTACTTCTTATTTGTAATTACGAGTTATCTTCCTAACTCCTTCCACCCTCTTCCCCATTTATATCACCAAGGTTGTAAAATTCAAATCCTGAGGTCAAGGCATAGTAAAATTCCACCCTCACCTCTCCTTACTAATCACCTATGATCCCGGTTCTAAAACCCTAATTTTCCCTCCATTAACTCGACTCCTTTTTTCGGCACTATTTGGATGAATCCACCACTCCCAAAAACAACTGATTAACAAATTTGGGTCCCTACCTTAAAAAGGAAGTCGAACGAACGGGCCGCAAATGGCAGCGCCTCTCACTGCTTTATAGAATTCCACGGCACGCAGTCATTACCAGCTCCACGCTAGGGATTTGCTGCCCTAATTACTTCATCTTTGTTGTCCCCTCCCTCCCTCTCGCCTTCTCTTTACTTTACTCCTCCTTGTTTCTTCTTGCCTCCCTCCCAATCCCCCCTCCCCCCTCTCCCGCACTCCAACTTTTTTTGCCTTTCTCCTCCTTATTTCCGCCCTCTCCCCTCTTGCACGCGGTTTCACCCCTGGCCTCCCCCGTCTCCCTTTCCCCTCCCTTCCCCCCCGTTCACCTCTCTCTCAACCGCCCCCTTCCCCCTGCACTCTCGGTGCTTCCTCTCCCTTTAAATCTGGCTCCGAGCATCTTTTGATAATAAGGTTAGAAACAGGGAGGTTTTGGTTTGAGTGCATGAAACGCACTGCTGGAATGCTTTTCTGTAACTTTCTTCGTGTCACTGTGCGTTGCTTTATCTAAGATTTAATAATCCAATTTCGAGGTCACATGAAGTTTCTGTTTTCTCAATTGTTCACCAAAACAGTTTCGAGCCCAGAAGGACAGCATTAGCTGTGCATACTGAACTGGAGTAAAACGGCAAACTATTGTTTGCGCGCGCTACCAGTATCAGCTGAATTGAGGTAGCACAAATCCATGCGTAACATGAGGAGGGACTGGACCGCTCAGAGGGCATCAGCTGACGCCCCCTCTTTCCTCATATTAATTTTTTATTTTCTGCTCATAACCGACTCAAAGGCCAAAATTTTCACTTAAATTTGGTTTCTTAAAATTTTTAAGGCGACTTTTCTTTACATATATTATGTATGTGCGAAATGAACTACCTTATGAGTTCTGCCTGAATAACTTCAAGAGTGCCGTATAATGTTTATAAAAGCGGGTTCTGTCCAAAATTTGTACAGCAAAGTGCTTTTGAAATTAATTAAATTTTCAAAGTTTTCTTTTTTATGCGTTTTTTGCATTTACGAAATATGCAATACAGAAACGCATACTGTCGAGGGGTTGTCTGTCTGTGTATGTATGTGTGTCTTTGTGTGCGTCTCTATCGAGTTTTCATCTCGAGATCTACAAAAACGACAAGACTGAGAATTTGACAACTTAATTTACATATACGTGCGGGCCCTGTCTTCAAAATGGACGTTCACGTCCGCGTGGCACTCATGTACGGGCATATAAAAGTTTTTTTAGCGAGAGAGAGTCTTCGGGAACGGCGCAAATTAGAAGGCTGAAATTTCACAAAGGCGTTCCTTGGCCACATTTAATCCAAAGATTTCAAATTCAGCCTTCACACACTCTAGATCTCACGTACACGCACATCAAAGCTTAAACTGACATTGTGCCAACTTCAGATTTAAGCTGATCAAGAGCTTGTAAGGGGTTGCAGTTTTGCAGCTTTACTTGTCGCGCAGTGTTGTGCCCGCAAAAGTAAATTGAGCTTTCCAGCCCCTCTGTATCTCACGTACGGACACATAAAAATTTCGCGCAGGTGATTTTGTAACTTCAGAACTGTAGCAGCTAGACGAGTGGAACTTTCTGAGCATAACCGGTGACGGCGTTTTACCAGTAGACATAAAAACTGCTTTTGCGTCCCTTTCAGGTACGTGCAAGTGAAATTTAACGTAACTCCACAACTAAAACAGCTAGAGCTCTGAAATTTTCTAAGCGCGGCCCAGGATTGTGTTTGAGCAAGCGCACGCGATAACAGCATTCACGTCTTCCCTAACGCACGAGCACGTGAAATTTGATTTAACTCTGCAACCGAAGCATCTAGAGTACTCAATTTTTGGGCATGGATTGGGAGTCGCTGCAACAATTTCCAACAGTCGTGGTGGCTGCTCTCAATTTTCTAAGCTAGAAGCATCTGCCCGAAAAACAGTGCCATTAGCCATAAAAACCTGCGGGGGAATCGTGCAAAAAATGCTTCACAGCGGCAACCTGTCAAGTAAGTTAAAAATTATCAAGAGAACTGCAGGATTGGCAACTTCAGAAATGCTTTGGTGAAGTTTAATTATGAACAATGTGGTATGTTTTAGCAGCGAATCGGCTATGCTTTTTATGTGCATCTATTGGGGACATTGTGTTGGCTACTTGCGTTTCTTTTTGCGTTGTTAACTACGTACAAATTCTTCACAAAACGGTATTCTGCACGACGGTAAGCTTTCATTCTGCGCAGCACTATTGCTCTAATTTCCATTACTTGTCTTACCCTTTTTATCGCAAATGAAATTTCACTCTTACTTTACCTCATTTCGCAAACAATCTTCCTCTCATCTTTTCTGGCCGTCTGTGGTAAGCTTACTTTGGTTAACTATCAAAAACTTACGTTTATGACGTTACTAATACTATCACTTGCTGTACCTTGCTTATAAATTAATAAGATACAGTCAAAGTAATCGACAAAATTTGTTATCTGTCACTTGAGGAACAGCCTCCTGCATCGCGACAGTGGGTTTTTTATGCGTTTTTACATATATGAAAATTGCAAAAACGCATATTGGGAAGAGGCTGTGTGTGTCTGTGTTCGCACTTTTTGTCACCCACTTTCAACTCGAGAACCAGGAAAGCTAGAAGGGTGAAGCTATGGAAGTATGCGCCCATAGCATGCGCGACCCTCCCGTTTTAAAATCATCCCCCGCGGACGCCGGGATGCCGCGTATGAATGCTTTAAAAAAATATACAAATTTTTTGGTGGGAAAGCGATCTCGAGAACTAGACAAGGTAAGGGACTAAAACTTTGTACGAATATTCCCAGTGTATGTACTGGCCAAAGATTTCAAATTCGGCCCCCAAGTATGTGTGATACTCAAGTAAGGGCGTATGAAAGTTTCGGCGGGAAAACTGCTAACTCGGGAACCAGAAAAGCTAGAAAGCTGAAATTTTTAGAGAATGTCCCTTGTCCAAGTACAACTCAAACATTTTAAACCCAGCCATCAGCTATGCATGGTTCTTACATACGAGCACGTGAAAGATTTGGCGGGAGAATTGTTAACTCGGCAACCAAAAAAACTGGAAGGATGGAATTTTAGGAGGGTGTTCACTGTCCACAAGCAATTCAAAAATTTCAAATTCAGCTTCCCAGGCGCATAGAATACCCACGTACGGGCCTGTGAAAGTTTTGACGGGAGAATTCCTAACTCGGCAACCAGATAAGCTGGAAGAGTGGAATTTTGGGAGAAGGATCCTTGTCCAAGTATAAATTAGGTATTTCAGAATCAGCTCCCAGTTATGCGTGATACTAACGTAAGGGCGTATAAAAGTTTCTGCGGGAAAATTACTAACTCGGGAATCAGAAAAGCTGGAAAGTTGTAATTTTAGGGGAATGTTCCCTATCCAAGTATAACTTAAATATTTCAAATTCAGCCTTGAGGTATGCTTGTTTCTTACGTACGGGGTACTTTAAATTTTGGAGGGAAAATTTCTCACTGAATAGCAAGGTTACTTTTAAAGAACGGCCGCTAAATGGAAACTGTGCATTTATTTTATGCAAAATTTATGATGATTTATGCTAGCGACCGCAAATGGAAGGTGTAAAGTGACGACCATTCATGCATTTAATGATCTGAGTATTTCAAGTCCGGTGCAAAAATGCATGACCGCACGGGCCCACCCGGTGTGTTCCAATCTGGGTTCATGTTTTCGCGTGACATTACGATTGTTGACACCAAGGATGTTAAGTGCTTCATAGTCTGATACATGCACACACTTTGGTAACTTTTCGCTGGTCTTTTCTGTCACATTCGGGGAAAGCAGCTGTCAGCTATACCGTTGGTATTCTACTGCAGTGTCTCGTAAAATTTCAGCTTTCTCTGCCTTGTTAAGCACACGAAACTTAGTTAACGTTTTTTTTAGTTGTGGATTTCAGGCACTTTTTTAGGACGGAGACATGCGCGTTAGTTGGAATTGCGTTTCCGGGGCTCAATGTGGATCGGAAACATTCCTATAGAGTTTCAGCTTCCTACTTTCTCTACTTTCTGGGTTAAAAATGCATACTAAAATCCCAGCACAAATACACACTGACGAGGTTCCAAGAATATTTGTTTTTATGCGTTTCACATCTTATGTAAATGCAAAAAGGCATGTTGTCGAGAAGTTGTCGTGTGCGTGTGTGTGTTCGGATTTTTATCACCTATATTCAACTAAGCAACTCTGAAGCTAGAAAGATGGAATTCCACAGTGACGTTCCTAGACCACGTCTCTTCCAAACTTTTGCAAATCGACGTTCAGGTACAGCTGGGTCCTCACGTACAGAGGCCTAAGAAAATCCATGCAGATTTTCTGGCGTGAAAACGATTTCGGAAACGAAAGCAGGTAGAAAACTGACTTTCGCAGGGTTATGTTTTGTGTGAGTTAAGAATTTCAAATTCAGCTTTGAAGGATATCTACGTCACGAATACGGGCGCATCAAAGCTGTAATTTCTTCATCGTTGGCAAAATGCCAATTCGGGAACCAGTCTGCTTAGAGCATTATAACTTTATGGAAATATTTGTTGTCATTCACAAACACGTAGGTCCAAAATGAGCTTTGGCTTGCACTAGTGTGGTACATTTGGACGCGTTTAACATCTTTTAACGTGAAGGGATCTGGCCAACCAGTTAAGCTAGGAAGTTGGAATTTTATGAGAATATCTGATGCCCGTGTATGGCCGAAATATTTCAAATTTGGCTTCAGAGCACGTCTTGGTCTCGCGTGCGCGCAAATGGAATTTGAGCTTGGGATACTTCTGTAGCCAGGCGGAGCGGGAAGAAGGTTTCTTCTGAGGATGTTTGCTTTTTATGTGTGAAGCCAGCAAGTGCAAAATGAGCCTATGGATCCTGTATGCAGGTGCATCAAATGTATGGATTGCCGCACTGCAGTCACATCTTCTTTTAGTACAGGCTGTCTCTTTACAGCACGAAATCATACAAAAGCGTGCGTCTGCACCAGTAAGCCTATTGTACTGTTGTCTAGGTGTCAGTTATAGAGGTGAATTTTGTAATCAAATACAGTAGATTTGTTCGTGCGGTATTTTGTATTCAATCATGTGCGCAGATAAACATGAGAATTTCAAACATAAATTTCGGCTTCTTCTTCGTTGCTCTCTCCCTCCGTTCTTCTCCTCTCCCCTGGACTACTTGGCCTGGAAAATTTTTTGGCTGCACTAGAGTCATCAGTTCTTTATGTTTATTTTACTATCTAGTGCTGCGGTGCATAGTTTTATTTTCGTTTTTCCACTAATGCTAATGGAAAAACGTAAATAAAAGTAAAAAAAAAGGCGTGAAACGTATGTACTTCCGGACAGGCTTATCAATTTTTATGTGTTTTTAACGCTGCACGATATAACGAAACGCTATAATGCTGCACAGCGTGCAAAAGCGCATACTGTCGAGAAGTCGTCTTTGTGTGTGTGTGTGTGTTCAGAAGTGAGTGACCTTTGTCACCCACTTTCAACTCAGCAACCAGGAAAGCTGGGAGGCTGAAATTTTGGGAGCATATTTCCACCTCGGGTGTCACCCTTCATTTTAAAGTCTCCCCTTATACGTGCTTAGATCTCGCGCACAGCTCCCTGAAAAAGATATGCAGATTTCTTTGACGGGAAGCGATTTCGCGAATCAGGCGAGGTAGAAAGTTGGAACTTTGCAGGGATATTCTCTGTGCATGTGCGAGCTAAAGATATCAAATTCAGCCATCGCGTACGTTTGTGGCGCGCGTACGGTCACGTCAAATCTAGCAGTTGGCATTGTGCTAACTCGAAAACTAGCCGGAAAACAGTAGCTGAAATTTTGTCGAAGTATTTATCATTTATTTGGGAAATCTTGTACTTAAACTGAGTTCCGATTTGCACTTGCTGCACAAATTAGGACAGTTCAAAGATATTTGTAACTAAAAGGATATTTCGCTTATCAAACAGGCTGCAAAGCTGAAGTTTTGCAAGGGTACTACATCCAGTTCAGTTTGAAGGTGGAATTCCCTGCATGCAAACATGAAAAGCACTCACTTTTAACGCAAATTCAAAAACAAGTTCATTTTGCAGATTCCATAATCCTCTTCTAGATTCCTTCAAAATTGCATTTTTTCAGAGAGCGAGCATTTACCAGAAAATCGACCGAGCTTCATGCAAAAAACTGGTAATCATGTACCTGGAGGCCTATGCGGCCCTATAATGCAATATTTTCATCCCCTTTCTCCTGCATGCCGAAAGAAGCCAAAACACGGCTAATATGAATCCATGTGTTAGGCTTTAGTGCAGGAATCACTCACGCTGCTAAATGCAAGTTTATCACAAAAACGCATGATCGCACCGGCAAGCCTGGTGCGTTGTAGGCTGGGTCGTACTTATTTATTGTTGTTATGTCACTAAACCCCTGGTAGCGGGTCTTACTACAGGATCATAAAATCGCGATTTTGAATTCATTTGCTCTGTTCTCCAGATTTCCTACTGCAGTCCCTTTATTATTGATGAACACTAAGGTCTTGAAACCGTCTTAAATTTATTCAGTTGCTGCATATTATTGCTTTCATTCGGAAACTTATGTATTTTTACTACTGAGAGGGGAAGCGTTCAAGAATGTTGGATGTAAATCTTTCAGACTTTTACTTGCTTTTTGTAGTTAAGGTTCCTGCAACTTCGTTACTGAACGGCATATCCTAAGAAGTGGAAAGTCGTACTGTTAATCTCCGATAAAATTTTCACCTCATCTCAACCTGTGAGAGAAAAAAATTCATCTATCGCTCGTACATATTTACCAAATAGTAACAGCATGCCAGTATGGCTGTTGCCGATCTTTTTTGCCCTCACGCAAGTATGGTATAGTGAAAAAACTTACTGGTAGAAGCATCATTTTTAGTGTATGTCAAGTGGATAAAATATGAATCTTTGGAAATATACCAAAACGAAGTTTTTTTCTGAAATTTGTGCTGCCGTTACGCCTTATGATCATCGAAGAAACTTTTTGCTTTCAAACTGGCAACATGTTTTGTCCTCGAGCACAACTTTTACCAGGAGTGTTTAGGGATGTACCAGGAAAGCTTAGGTGGTGAACCAACATGTATTTTGGCGGCGAGCCGTGTAGCTGGTCGAGTGGCTGCAAAAGAAATGTTTCTTACAGTCCAGTGTTATTCAGCTTCAGTTGCGAGAGCAAGTGACTACTGCTGCCGCTTCCAGGCGGGAATGTGAAACTTAAGATGACATTGCAGGAAAGAACTTGATCAAATACCTATCTTCAGCTCGAGCACACATTTCCGTCCGGACACTGCTGCTGGTCCACCATTGCTGGAAAAGTACAACACTGCGCCATCCAGATCTTCGCCACCACCAGTAACTTATGTTCGCGAGCACACCTATCGAGTGACAAGTGCCTAGCTGCCATTGGTTATTGCCGCATGTTCGATGAACATCGCTGGGCAGCGCCATTACCAACCATTCAAAAGCTGTAATTTCGTTAATCCTGGAACTGAACCCGCGGTGGATGTTGCTTTTCGTTGCTCGCTTCCCAGAACTTCCACTCTGCTAATAAAACTGTTGCGAAAAGGATTGTAGTCTCATTCTTCAAAAGCTTTGAAATGTCATTTCTGATATTTCTCATAGCTGCCCGACTCCAGGAAATCCTTCTAACTTTTTTACACTTATTGGATTATCGTTTACTTGTTAAAATGTGCTGTTCGGTTTGGCTACCCATGAGCCTCGCATTTTCTTGAGTTTTAATTGAACTCGGTGATTGTAGAAGGCTTGTTTTGCTCCAGGTTTTTTGGCCAACAATCAATAAACCAACATTCCATGTTCTAAAACAATTGTCGTCAGTGTTTTACTTTTTTCTCGCAGTGCTTTGGTCGATGCTCATTTATATGTATTTTTGTGCTCGCTGCTCATTTACATGTGTAATTGTCTGAAACACAACAATGGCATAGTAGACAAAATCATCCCCCTGGATTTGCTTGAATGGTTAATATCTCTAGCTGTATTAACACTTAAAGTAATTTAGAAGCAAAATAACACCTAGTTTATCGTCCGATTTATCATAATAAAAAGAAAATCAACAGCACATTAGCGCAAGTTGAAATGTTGCCAAGGATAGCTGGACCTTTGCTTGAAGTGCACAGCTGTTTATTTCCAATCAGTATACTGCTGGTAATGTTATGTTGCTACTTGAAAAGTTTGAGAATGGCAGGCGGATAAACTCGTTTTGGAATTTTTTCTAGCACATGCCTCTGCCTTGTAAAACAGCCAGCGGCGTCTCAATATTTCTGCTTGCCTGCTTATCACACTGCAATCAGCTCTTTTGAGTCAAGCTGTTAAACCGAAGCCAAAAAATCTAATTCTTTCATACTCCGCTCTTCGAAAAACACTCAAATGATAGTACATAGCCTGCTGACAACGTTATCAACGGCTTTTCCTTCGATATCAGAGGGTTCGAGCTCCATTAAACTTAATTCTCCTGTAAGCAAATTGAACCACTGACTTTAGCTTAAGAGTAATGCTAGTTACTGTCACATATAGTCTACCAGCAAAATATTAATTAAAGTCTGTCGTCCAAAAAGTAGATTAAAACGCAAATCTTTTTTCAAAAAGACCTGGCTGTGTCGCTAGACCAGTACCATTATTAGTCTGGAAAAGGTAACTGGACTAATTTCAGCTTTCCAGTGCTAACAGAAATAAAGCAATTTACTGTTTTTTGCATGTGATTTGCCTTAGCTGTGGCTGCGATTCAGATCGCAAAGCCAGCTAAATAACAACGCATGATTACCAGGATTGTCTAATTTGTGGAACTAGAACAGTTATCCTGTGAGGATAATATAACATCAGATGACACCACAAGGCTGCCAGTATTCAATTTTTAAGATAGAGAATTTATCGTTGGTTGTCGTTTTAACGGCTTGATTCTGCTAATTATTTGGCTAGACTTGCTTTAGCTGGCCAGCCCAATGTTTTTTGCTCCAATTTTGACTGTTACATTTTGCAACATTTATGCATGGTGCAGTGGAAAAGTTTTGGAAAAGTTTTGTCGGAATTTTTCGTCTCGTAATATTTGATAAATGAATCAGTTATTTCGATTTATTTTTAAACTGTTTTCACTGTGCTTACTGCCTCTTAACTGTTACTTTCTTAAAGATGGATTTATGCATTAACGAAAAAAAATGTGGTGCTTTGATTTGCAACGACACCAGCCAATGCACTTAAAAAGATCGATGTGCAAAGGAGTGTGGCTGTCTTCCTTTTGCACCTTGGAGGCAGATGAACAATGTTAAACGGTGCAGAAAACAAGGCTGTAATAAATTGCAACGCGCACCAGAATAGCCGGTGCGATCATGCATTTTGTGCAATTAAGCCCATCGAACGATTGCCTATTAATGATTTTCACTGCTTTGTACTTTAGTCT